ATGACCGTGCTCTCGTTGAGCGCCCGCGGCGGATTGTAGTCGTGCAGCTTCAACCCCGGGACAAGACCCTTGGGTGACACTTCGAGAAGCCCCTGCGGCTTTTTATACGGATCGACTTCATCTGCGAAGTATCGGTCAGGCCCTGAGTTCCAACAATGCTTGAACTCACAATACTGTCATGATCGTCATCGCAAAGCTAGTACACGGGATGCGGACGACAGGCAACTGACCTTATACGGCACTCCGAGATACTCGAGCGCAATCCAGGCGCGCTGAACGAACGGGCAAAAGCAGGCGCCGAAGAACGTGATGGCTTCGTCCGAGGAATGGCGCTTGACCGTCTCGAGCGCCGTACCGGTGCATTCAGTGCGATACGTTTTGCCGCTGTCCTTGCTAGCAGACATGGTGGGATGAGGCAAGGTGGATGAGCTTGGGATGGCAAAGAAGTACGAGAACCACATGATGTCATGGACAAGTCACGCACCTGCGGCAGCTGAAAGGGTGGTTCAAAGGGTCGACGACTGTCGCGAAGGCGGCACGCATGTCGTACTAGGGAGGAAGAAGATTATATACAGAGCCCGTCCCTGGCGGACGATGGGCGGTCAAGGAGAGGATAAGTTACAAGAAGAAGAAGAAGAAGAACGAGAAAAGTAGGTCAAGGATAGACGATATGCAATATGTACTAGATAAAGCAGTTAGTATGAATAGTATATACGGGGCACATAGATCGGAACAAATTACTGGTGGGCACACATAGTTACCAATAAAGCCAGACTAGCACAAGAAAACGAGGTCGAGGGGGATAGGTAAGAAGGGAGGCGAGGCAAACAGTCCATGTCCTTGATCAAAGCTCAACGAGACGCACCGCACCCTCAACACTCGCCCGGTATGCTGCTCTCCACCACCTCGTCCAGTTTCTTCGTCCGCGTGATCTTCACGACGACCGTGCTCTCTCCATCCGAGACTGCCTCGTCGTCGTCAATGCGCACCTGTCGCGCGCCTTTCTTCGCACGGACTCGTGGCGTCGTCGCCGCCTCCTTGACTGCTGCCTTGCGCGGCGTCTTCTCCCGCGCAGGCGTCGGCTCTCGAGCTCCACGGGCAGGAGTCGCACTTCGCGCGCGCAGCGTGCGATCGGACGCTGGAACGGCCGGTTCCTTACCCTTGCGCGAGGCGGGCGGTCGTCCACGACGCTTGGGCGGGTTGTTCTCCGTTTCAGTCACGGCACCGCCGTCCCAGTCTGCGTCATCCGTCTGCGATACAGCTTTCGCAGCTCTGGATTTCGGTTTCGGCTTCAGGACTGAGGACGACTTCGCTGCTGCCTTGGAAGTCGGCTTCGTCGACGTGGACGGCGGGGATTTGGCAGTTGTCTGGCGCTTGCGCTTCTTCAGTTGCGGTTTTTCCGCGTCGGAGGCATCATCCTGCTCATCGTCTGACGCGGATAGCTTTCGCTTGGGAGATGGGCGAGCAGGCGAAGTGCCTATGCGTGATCGTGATCGCGTCGAGCGGGCGGGGGAGGGGGATGTGCGAGCAAAGACCCTTGATTGCCTTCCACGAGAGCGCGCTGAACGCGTCACCGATATGCCGTCCTCAGATGAGCTGCTGGGCGGCTCGACGACGACGACGCCACATTTGCGCCTGATGCAGCTGACGAGTTTGTCCTTATGGATCGTTGAGTCGGCGCGGAAGCGTGCGCGCTTAATATCGGTCTGTAGAAATGCAGACGATCAGTACCACGCGCCGCTGAGTGAGGTAGACCACGCACAGTATGCTCGCCCTCGTAGCACCACCCGTCGGGAGGTCCCTGATCGCCGTCGCCCTCTGTTGTCTTCCCGCAGCATTGCCAAAAGGTCTCATAGCCCTTACCCCCACCGACGCGCTCGACCAGCGTGCTCTCGTCGTCGTGGGCGATATGGCAACTGATCGGGGTGTTGTCGACGTCGTAGTAATCACCGTGACACCGCAGACAGTGCATGAGGGGAGGGGCAGCCATGTCTTTGAAGAAATCGAGTAGCTGCATCTCGACGGGGGACTCTTCCAGCGCTTGTATGACGAACGCCTTCAAGGCGGGTGCAGGCATCGCGAGCACGAGCGCGCGGAGTGCGACGAGCTGCTCGTCTGTACTTTGTACTGAGGGTACATCAACATCCATCGGCGCCGCTGGGGGATCTACCTGGCCGGTGGTACCCATAGAAAGGGAGGGGGAAGGCGTGCGCAATTGCTGCTGGGAGACTGTGCGCTCGGGCGACTGTGTCTCTGGCTGCGTCTGCGTCGGTTGGGTATCCGGCTGTGTTTGCGCCTTGCGCAAGAAGAGACCGAAGACCATCGTAGCCCAGAGTCGAAGGAAGGAGAGAACAGCGGCGCGCCGGTCGCTGGAATGATGGAGGAGAACAAGAACGGTAATCCTATTGTTTCCCACCGTGACCGTCGCGTTACTGCTTTATTTATTTGGTTACACGTGCAACGTCAACGCGCGTGTTGTGCGTTCATTGTTTTCTTCATCTTGTCTGCAACCCTCATGTTCCTCAAACTTCACGACCATTCTCGCGTATCTCCTCGCGTATCCCGCGCATAATACAGGCGTACTCTCTGTACAAACGTGTCTTCCTCGTTGGCGCAAGGCGGCAGGCTTGTGTACGCCACGATGCTTCCAAACTTCAAAGCCACAATGCGCAGTTCGATCTGTAAAGCTTAGCGCCTCTTTAGACGTGTTGATATGGCGCTTTAGGGCTCAGCAGTATTTTCTCGTGTGCTTTCATACTCTGCCGCATTCTCGCGCTGAATGGACGGCCGCTGCTCATCATCAATCTGGCGGAGTGAGGAATTAGCATCTCAGCGACAAATGCTGCTGCAGGTCTGAGCGCTAGCGCTTCGGACGGCCTAACACTGGAGTGGTAGGATAGTCAAAGGGCACCAGCGCCCAGCTAAGCTGCCGGTGATGTCGCCGACATACGCTGATGTGACAATTTCCAGGCGCTGTGTCATGCGTTCTGAATTCATAGCTTTCTCTCCTTGACCCCCATCTTCATGTCTTCCCTCGCTCAAGAGACCTTCACCTTGGATCTACGTCCCGCCTATCGTCTGCTTGTCGCAGCGAAGCGGTATCGTGCAAATGATGCCCAGCCGAATCCGGACGCCCTGACGCTGCTATTCGTGCACAGCACGCATACGTGCAAGGAATACTGGGAACCCACTATTGATGACTTGGTCACACACGTGTCCGCTGCATCTAGGCGCAGAATACACGATATCTGGGCTGTGGACGCGCCGTATCATGGCGACACGGCACTGCTGAACGAGGGGAGGCCGGAAGCCGACGAGAGTCTTTACTGTAAGCCTGCAGTACTCTGCCATGATGATCCTCACAGCAAAACTGACCCAATCACTGACAGCGGGCCCTTTCGAGGAATGGGAGCACTGGCTTCGCGCAGTCTTGAACTGCGAGGCGCTCCGGCATCGTCGTGTCGTCCTCATCGGCCACTCGATGGGCGCTGCTGTCCTGTAAAGATATTCCCTAAATATCACGGCGCTCGATTTTGATGATCCTTCACAGCCCTCTGGCATTCATTCGCGAACCTCGTCCTCACAATGTTGCCGCGCTGATCCTGGTGGAGCCAATCGCTCTTAAAGGCCTCGACAACTTCGAGCAGTACGCCAATATTCTCCCGGAAGGCGCGCGGCGCCGCGGAACGCGTTTCGAGTCGTTCGAGCGAGCGCTCGCGCATTTTGAAGCGCTGCCCTCGTGGAAGGGCTACGACGAGCGGATAATTAAGAAATTTGTGGTGTGTGGCTGTATTGGGCGCTCCGTGCAGGAGGCGGTTACCGCTCTTTACGCGCCTCATGCACATTTCAGGATCATTCGTTTCGACCACTGCCGGAAGGCGGCGTCGCGTCGAAGTGCACTTTAGAACGAGAGATAGTGCGTCGTTCTCATAGTCGTGCACACCGAAAGGACTGCTGCTCACGATTTTTTCTCTGATATATAGGAGTGCTATAACGACCCACAAGGCTTGCTACGCGTTTATCAGGCTCTACCACGCGCCGCGCAAGCCGTGCCAATGCACCTCATCATGGCGGAAGGTAATAGATTTATGTGCGTATCATACCGTTCTAACTCTCCGACTTGTTCTGACCTCGGGGATTGCGCAGGGGCCGAGCTTTCAAAGACGACATCATAAATGTCGTGGCTGGCCCTGGCAGGCCGGCAACCGTGTCGTTCATTGCGGACGCAGAGCATGTTGTGCGTGCAGTCCACCCTCATTTTCTCAAGTTGCGCATCTCGCTTACCGCCTCGACAGGTTGTTCAGCAGAAGCCGAGAGAAGTAGCGATACACATCCTAGACGTGCTGCAAGCTCTGCTTTCGGGGATGGCAAAGCTCTGAGAATCCTGCGCTGTTTATTTGGCTGTCTTGAGGTCAAGTGGCGGGGGAATCCAGTACTGAATCCGCCGTCCTCATTAAAGCGGAGCTGTCGTTGTCGTAGACAAACACATCCTCTTGTCAATCTCGACCGCTTTGAATATGTCTAATACCCTTGCATCACATATGAACTTGTAGCTATGCATGCCCTGCGTGATCTCCCAGGATATCTATGGCCAAACTCGACGCTGTCGCCTGTGTACAATCCGCCGCTGTCCGCGTTGCTTTCCAGATACAAATTAAGACGCATCGTCAATTTTATCCTGCTACTTTAATAGGATGCTGGGGATAACATAGGAGACAGAGGTGAAGGTAGCGCAGTTGGCGATGACACATAAGGTTGGTTGATACGGAGCGTTCACTTCCTTTGGTTGACGAGTCTCTGAACGTACTACATACAGATCTATATATGCCTTCGGTAGTCCACTAGCAGCTCTTATATCGTGGGAAACTGTCAGAAGCTTACACGAAAAAGGAAGGTGTTGACAAGACCTTCTCCTGCTCGTACCTCGCCTGCGATCTTCTTCACGCCATATCTCCTTTTGTAGCTCCTTTGACGGCCTAAGAACCAGTGCAAAAGATACATGACGAGAGTGGGATTCGAACCCACGCCTCGAAAGACCAGATTCCTTTGGAAATTCCAATGGAAGATGTACCACACGAAGGTGATTGATCCTTAGTCTGGCGCCTTAGACCGCTCGGCCATCTCGCCTTCTGTTCTCTTGAAACTTTATCAACATGGACAGAAGATGCCAACGAAGCCATCGGCCGGATTAGAAGTTGCGAGAGTGCACGGGAAACGAAGGAGAAAATCAGTACTTCCGAGCGTGAAGATTGATCAGGTCACGTGCCTAGTTAAAATTCAAACTTCGCTCGGCCCCGAGACGCTCCAGTTGAATATCTCCCGGATCTCTCAGTCTCTTGTAGTCGCAAAAGATGCAAAGCAACATTTCTGATAGCCGTTACCACATTTAAAGAGTACATGGGAAGTGGTACAATATGTTCAATAATCTATTCAAGTGTGTGTTACTTGCACGAGGGGGTCAAAGAAACTAACAAGTATAGTAGCTTGGAATGCTCTTCTTCATGGCTTCTACATACCAGTAGTCTGCACCCTGGGTACTGTCAGTCGGCACGAGCTGCACCCACGTCCCGCCAATACCCATCCCGACGATGAGCCTGTCAGCCACCGCAGGCTCGACCAGCAGAACGATATCTTTAGTGGCGCAGGCCGCATTCCCATCCACCTCCGGTCGACTGTAGATGCGTTCACCGATGTTGTCGGCAGGGTCGAATGGATGATAGTCCGGCCACGGCGCTAGCTCGACACGCGCAAGGCGCCCTGCAAAGGCGGACGCAACGGGTGGCTTCACATCCGCGATCCGTCGCATCGACCTTTCGGTGGTTCCGCGTGTATACGAGAGTTGAAGGTCGCACGCAGCCTCGTCGCCTAAGATCTCTGCAAGATAGTCGGTCTCCTGCGAGTCCCACTGTGCGGTCGACGGGCCATCCCAGCCATCAGTCGGGCCCCATTCGTCGGCGCTGATGTCCTCCGCGAGGACGGCGCCGCCTTTGAGAAGCACGTTGATAGCGTCCACGGGATCTGCTGTTGGTTGTGGAAAAGCCTTTGTGCAGCCAACGCTGAACTTATCAGGAAGAGCGCGCGCCAGCGCGGCAGTCGCAGGCAATTCCACGAAGGCGCGGTCTGCCACCTCGATGGCCCGCTCAAAGCCAGAGCGCAGCTTTGGCTCGCGAAAGACGTTGTTCCGGAGGATAAAGTCGTAGAAGAAACGCAGTAGTCGTGGGGTGCCGTCCAGTAGATGGTTGTAGAAGATGAAAGCCTGATCAATCATGTGCGAGGAGAGGAAGACAGCGGTACCGTGCGCGGGATCGGTGACAAAGCTAGCGAGCGTCTTGACTCTGCGGTCCGATGCAGCGTCGTACAACGCGCGCACGGCCTCGTCGCTGTCAACCTTCTGCGGCTCGCCCCAGACGGCGTACGGCATGTGCATTATGACGCGCTTCTTGGGCTGATCAGCAGCCTGGGGGGATTGGTTTTCTGGGTCTGAATCGTCGTCGTCATCAGGCGGCGCCGGTCTGTCCGTACGCTGCCATATCGGATGCTCGAACTGGAGACCCGAGAAGAGGCAGAACTGGTGATGGGGAATTAGGCGCCGCGTTGCAGTTTGCAGTAAAGACTACGCACCTGGACCCACATGTCCCGGATACTAGTCTTGTTGTGCATGGGCGGCCATACATGGCGACGTGACTCGCTGAACTCTCGCGACGCATCGGTGAGGCGGTTTGACGGGTCAATGGATCTGCACGCTGGGTCAGCCCTGGCCTGCGTTCCAAGGTGGCGACACGCACACATCGTAGCTTCGATAAACGCGTCGCTTGGGCTCCTCTACTTTCCACTCGTTCCACCACTCCTTGCTCATTGCAGGCGGTCTCGTGAATGTGCGCTTGATGTGCGGCGTCTCCTGCTGAAAGATAGATCGCGTCTTGCAGTAGTCCCTGTCACGGTCATAATCGGCGATCCTTATGGCCACCGTCCGAATGCCCTCGGTGTCGATTTCGGGGTTGTTGAGTCCGCAGTGTTTCTTTATGCCACGTTCTTTGAACTCGGCGAAGGGAGTGATCGACACTCCTGAGGGAGGACGAGGGAACGGCGGGAACCGCAGAGAGCCGGTGGAAGCTTGCGCCTTATCTTGTTCCGCTGACATATCTGGCAAGGTGGGAGTAGGAAGTAAGAGGGAATTCGCATCGTGGAAGAAAGGAAGTCTTTGTTCCCAAAACGGCACCCATGTTCGAATTCGACAATGCAACGGGCCGGCACCGGCCCGCTCTTTTGCTCACGCTTTGTTTGCTCGTTTTATTTGTTCATTTCTTGTCCCAAACGATGTCTAAACGCCCGAATCCCGACGGAGATGGCGCCCTTGTCAAGAGGGCGCGCTCCAACGAGCCCAGCGCGACAAACCAGATTGCCATATCCTCTGCGGGCGACGACAGCAAAAAGGGCCTCATACGAACAGTCCAGCGGACGAGCGGCCTTGAAGCGCCCATTATATCATTAGCAGGGGCGCATGGGGTGCGTGGACAGTACAAAATCATCAATATGTACTGACAAAGTGCAGGGGGAGATTCTGAGCTGTCGCTTTGACCCCACAGGACAGAACATTGCAGCATGTTCAGCGGACAGAAGCGTCTGTGCGTAAATGCGCCTCCTTGCGCCTCCCTCTTCTGACTCTTTCACAGCGCTATGGAGGACATACCCACCAAACACCAACTATGGGCTGCTCCAAAACCTTGCCAAAGCACCCATCCTCGACCTTCAGTGGTCGCTTTGCTCCCCCCTCATCTACACCGTCGCAGCCGATCATACGCTCACGTATACGGACGTGACCACGGGTCAGCGTGTGCGCAAGATTCGCGCTCACCGCGAAATCATCAACGCCATCGACCGTACCATGGCTAGCGGCAGCGGGACGGAGCTGCTCGCGACCGCGTCGGACGACGGCACGGTGAAGGTGTGGGAGGGCGGCGATGAGGCGTCGAAGCAGGCCGTCGCGACGTTCGAAGTCGGCTGCCCCGCGACGTCCGTTTGCTGGAGTGCGGATGGCGCAAATCTCTACGTCGGCGCGCTCGATAACGAGATTCATGTACGTCTTGAGTATGTAGGCGCGTTGCCATTTACTAACCGCATGACAGGTATATGACATCCGCAAGGGCGAGCAAGTCTATACGCTCACGGGCCACACGGACACGCCGACGTCCATTGCGCTGTCGCCCAACGGCAGCTACATTCTCTCCCCCTCCCTCTCTTCCCTCACGATCATTCACGACATCCGACCGTTCTCGCCCTCTCCGACACGCATCCACCGCGTCCTACATGGCGCGCCGGCAGGCTTCGAGAACACCCTTCTGAGGGCCGCGTGGAGCAAAGAGGACGGTGGACGGCGCGTAGCTGTCGGTGGTGCCGATCGCACGGTCTGCATATGGGATGTAGAAAGCGCGAAGATCTTGTACAAGGTGCGTAAATCGTCAACTAACAATTATAGGTGCTCACGACTCTGTACAGCTGCCTGGCCACAGGGGTACGGTGACAGCAGTCGACTTTCACCCGAAGGAGCCTATAAGTACGTTGACGCCTGATCCATCCCCTGCGGCGCGCTAATCCGTCCCGCAGTCCTCACGGGGAGCAAAGACGGAACCATGCTCTTGGGAGAGATCGAGCCGACTAACGCTGCATAGTACCGACCGTACCTCTTGTCACGACATCTTCCGTTTTCGCAGGGCGTCCGTCAATGCGAGCGAGCGAGGTCTCGAGCTTGAATTATGCGGGAAATGAGGTATTCTATGCTTGCGTGAGATTCGTAAAGTTTAGGTAGATCTCAGAGTTCGCTCTGTCTGGCGCCTTTCTCCTCCCTCAACAGCCGCGTTTAGCGCCACATGCTGCTCAGCAAGCCGCGTCTCTACAGAGACGAGCCTCTCCCCTTTGCGTTTTTACTACCGCCACGATCGCCACGACGAGTCTTGCTGTGCGTGTTGCTCTTACCTTTTGGAACGTCAACATACGCGTCGGACGAAGTGGCACATCCTGCTGAAAAGCTTGCGCTGGCGCCCACTGGTGGCCATGTGGCAACAGGCTTCGCAGCAAGACGCGTCCCAACTCTTGAGGTCGTCGTAGAAACCCTGCCTCTCGTGCTAGAGCTCATCGGAAGCCATGCTTGTTGACGAGCGCCAGAAGATAACGCGTGGGGCGGTCCGCCCAGGGGCAATGCTTGCGCAGCGGGGGCGACCTGGTTGATATTTGCTGAAGCATAAGGATTAGCGACTTCCGGCGGAGCGACTTCCGGCGGGGTGGCGGTCGTGTCTGCGGAAGCGGAGACGCTGAGTACCGCATAAGCCAGCGCTGCGCGGTCGATGTTGTGAAAAGCGTAGAGATCTGCGGTTTCTAGCATCTTGAGATATAAATGGAGATGGCCAATACTGACTGCACCTGGCAAAGGCCACAGCGGCGTCGCCTGAGAGGAAGAAGGGTGCGGTGTCCCAGCGAAGGGTGCGGCTGGAGCGGGGGGCGGCACAAACATCGACGTCGGCATCGGCGCAGTTGTGGCATCTGTCTGTAGCGGCTGAGCAGACGATATTCCATGCTGTAGGCCGTATGTTCCAGAGGTGGCAACGGAGCTAGGATATTCAACCATGAGAGCAGATAGTGGCAGCGGAGGTCCAGAGGGCTCAAAGGGTAATGTGATGGGATTTGAGGCAAACCTCACGGTTGCCCCAGACGACGCTTGTGGCCCCCACAAGCCCTGCTGGGATGAGCTTGGGGGTACGTTCAGTCCGACTTTCGCTAGCTCTGAGGGCTGAGCCCACGATTCACGGTGGAAACGGGGAGGCAGAGTGGGTGCCAGATTACGCGAAGGCCGCTTTGTGTAGAGGTCGTCCAGGCGGGTATACGAGGATGTTTGTGGGTAGGTGTCGATGTCGTGCGCGGCGTACGTGTTGCGTGTGTCGTGCGTGACCGAGAACGCTCGCTCAGGCTCAGGCGAGAATGGTCGAAAAGCGGCAGTTGATGGAGGCGGCGCTAGGGTCCAGACAGGCGGCATTCTGTGTCCCAAAGGGGACCGTGGCATATTTTCTTCTTGCGAGGCGCGGTCATGCTGCCGCTCACCCAAGGGCACGATGCCACGAGGATCAACCAGAAGA